CCGGCCGAAGTGTTAGCTCCATTGGACATGAAACGGAGCACATTGGCCCTGGCTAAGGCGGCTGAGCGCGTAGCGGTCGTCCGCATCATGCTATGTCTATGTCGACGAGGGTTGGATTGAGCGCCACCAAGCTTTGAGGTTTCTTGGTTGGCCAATGGAAATCGTTGTGCTCCAATTGTGTGGCGACATAAAAATTTCTTAGAAGTTTAAAATATTTTGTGGGTTGTTCAAATGTACGGTATAAATGGCAACAAGCTCAGCAACGAACTTCGACGTCAAGTTCACCATCCAATAATCTATATAGTAGGCTACAAAAACTACGCCGATGGACCAATCGTGGCAATTAACGTAAATGATCTGTCAGGTATTGTAGTCACGCTGCAGCAGATCGCAAGGCAACATTTTTGTTACGCTATTGTTCTCGGACTTGTAGCGAAGCTCTAAGGAATGCCGTGTTTGCCGCGCGCCGTACACAGAGTAAACTTTGACTTTAGAGTCAGGGCTGATAAACGATAATTGATTGGTTTCAAGACTGATTTTTCTGACGCGGAACTCTCAAGTTTAAGAGAATAAAGTCCGAGCTAAAGCTATCTTGAAGCCATAAAGACAAAACTCTGATCAACAAATTGCCGAGATGAGCAGCCCACGTATTTTACGGACCTCCCTCAAAATAACATCATCTTGATCTCAAACCTATCACTAGAGATCAAAGTATTTCACAAAGTAGTTCGCCACACTACTCCTGAGTTTTGCTTCGGGGGGAACGGCTTGGATGTATGCCGTCGGGTGAGGTTGACTTACCCGTGGAGCTTCACTGATCCGCACAGTTGTCGCAACACGCGATAGCGTTGACTCAACATACCTTCAGATCGTGATAAGTATGATCTCGGCATCAATTCAGAGCGTGTCATTTTTACTCGCTACTGACACTCGCCCTTCAACTCTACTGGCTTTGACATGGGAGACTGCGATACCCAGTAGCTTCCACTTTTCACCGGCTGACACAGACGATAACAGCTCGTAGTGTTTTTTTTACCGTTTTGCCCGAAAATACTTTGGATATTATGAATGCTGTCGGTACGTTCCATTCCCAACAGAGATACACACTGGAGACCACGATTTACAAACGCTCCTTTCTGTCTCATTCTGAGACCTCGGCTAATTGCTGCTTCAGCCTTCCGAGCTCTGCTCGAGGCACATGGCCATACCATTTGCTATTAATTTCAAACGGCCTCATGTGTTGCGCAGACGCTATTCCACCGACGCGCCCGCGCCAAAAAGGTTTTTGCTTCTGGCAGAGGTGAGTTCATGGCTTGTTTGAGCCCCACCATGCAGCGAGGCTGCCACAGCTTTTTGCTTAGAGGTAGCTAAGCCAAGGTCACCGACCATACGTTCTATACCAGAACCATTGCGAGTGTAGCGGATCGCAATCCGCTACCGTAAAGAATACTTAAAAATCTAAACCGTGCAAAGACGCTCTTCCGTTCAAGGCTGAGCCCGTATTTATTTGTTTAATTTGCGGCGATGCCGCCATATCTAAAACCATATATTCTACTATTTGATTAGTAAAACCTAATTAATATGCACAACTACTGGCAACGTTGAGGCTTCTTTTTACGGTGTGGTCACATCATTGTGTGAATGCTTGGGTCATTCACACATTTGAATGGTCACACCATCTGTGTGATCAACCCTCTTAACCCCATTACACTCTCCCCCATCAAAAATGTGAATACCCACAATTCACATTTAACTGTCGCCTCCTACGAAGCTCGCGCGTCTGAGAAACCGTTACGTTCCTACAACAATCTTTTAACATTCTCCGCGCAATGAGCCCTGTGTCTAGGACACGCAAAACACCCAGCTTCGCTAGTTCTGAGGGCGCCCGCGAGCAAAACACCCCTTCGTCTTTTGCACGGAGCGCATCTCCGGATAGTACGTCCGCGGCTTCACGGGAAGCACATCCCAAGCCCTCTGCACCCGGGCGACACACACTGCGCCCGTCACGGGCGTCGAATTTCCTCGTCGACGATTCGGGAGAAGTCGTTTACGAGTCGGATACTCCATTCCCAGCAATGGAAGCTGAGGAGGGTGGGGTGCGCCAACGGCGCGACGTGAGCCCTGCTCGAATCTTGCGGTCACCGTGTCTGATCCCCAACCTCTCGACTTTCGGAGAAAGTGGAATCATTACCAACCGCCTTGACGAGGCACAGAAGCAGCAGTTGGAGGCTGCCCACAGGGCGGCTCTCAAGCACTCGTATCCACGATCGGTTCTACACCCTCCTGTGGAATACGTCTTCGGCTTGGCGGATCCCGCTACTGAAGCGAAAGACGCGATCACTCGAACGTTGGGCGTCTATGAAGTCGGGCCCCCGGCAACTACACAAGCTGAGCTTGACCAGTGGAAAGCTCTCCGGGCTCGCTTCTTGGAATCTAAAAAAATTCCAGTGGATAGGTACCGCACTCAACTTTGAGCTCTAAGAGGAGGCTCTCCTATACCCGCAGTATGGACTATTCCTGTGACTCGTCCCTGGCAAAACCGTTGCAGATGATGAGGAGCTCTTCCAGCAATGAGTGTAACGGTACCGGAAAATTTCCTCGCTGTCTAGCTAACAGCGGAGCCACATGGAAGTGGACCTGCGCGTAGAACACTATCTTTGATTTGTGTTTGCCAAATTCAAGGCGCAACACCAATTTCCTTTGTATTGTCACTCTGCGACACATGGAATAATCGATCGCGCTACCGGGAGCTCTGTGGTTTCTCCCACGGGCAAGTCTACGACCAAAGCTGCTCCGGGCCATAGCTTGATCTCAGCGCATTGCTCTCCAGCTTTACCGGGCTACTGCCAAATAGCGCGGGGCGTACAACGACGCGAAGCGTCATGGCCCTACTGATCATAAGCGTCCACAACGTCTGAACAGTCTTGCCGAAGTCACACTTCAAACACCCACGAGTTCTCGGAATTTGGGTATCCCCGCCACTTCACAAGATATTGGGTTCGACCTTGTCGACGACGTCGACTCACAGGGCGTTCCACGTCATCGTGGACGTCACCATTCACATCGAGAAGAGTCGACGGCGGACGATGTCGACTTGGTCGATCTACTGCCATTAACTTGCGATGCTCTTCGAGATTTGGAGGACTAAGTCCGTCGTCAGCGGCACTCCGTCGAGCATCTTGCCGAGGTCAAAATCCGTAGTACTAAAATACTCAGGATCTTGGCGCACTTTGTGTACCGACTGCCTCGCGTTGCGGACTATCGCGCTCTTTCGGCGGGGATCCAAGCCGTCGAGAAGACGAATACGTCACTTCACGCGACGGTGGAGCGCCATGCGACGTTGGAAAGGGGAATTGTTGCACTTCGTGAACAGAGTCAAATGCTGGTTGAGCTTCTGGGTGACCGAGCGCCTTTTGGCGCCGCCCCGGTGCCAACGCTTCCGCATTTACTCGTGCCGGATCCAGGTGCGGCTTAAGCGATCCACATAGAGACTGAGTGGGTGCGCATCCTTCTCGGAAGGCTTAGCGTATACGCAAGACCTCGCTTTGCCACGAACTTAACAAGTTGGATAAACCGTGGACGGAGCTTTGTCTTACAGACAACAGAGACTGCATGTGTAGGAAGGTTTTAGCATTGAAAGAACCAGGTCCTCGACCTTAAAGTTTTCGTATCCTTCTGCTTCTTCCGTCTGCATATTCTTTCTGCATGTCTTGGCTTTCAGCCCTCGCATCGTGAACGTGTCGTAAGACTCTCAATCTGGTAGAAAGGACGTCATCGACTTCCTTACGGACAGTGTGGGGGCTGACATCAGCTAGCCGTTCGGTTATTCTTCCCCCACCAAGCCCTGAGCCATGGTATGGCAATGTCAGCGGGACGTGAGGATTAACAAGCCCATTCACGTAGAACGGCATGTAGGCGGTAGCTGAATGCACTACATTGTTCAGAGCAAACTCACGAGTGACAGCATGGCGCTCCAGCGCTTCGGCGTCTCAGCGCAGACGCTGAGAAGAATGCCTCCAAAGACGCGATTCACGCGCTCAGTTTGATCATCGGCCTACAGAAGGTCCGCTGTTGACATAATCAACTTGGTGCCCAGCATCCTGAAGATAGTATACCAAAATTTCCCAGTGAGGCGTGGGTCTCTATTAGAGCCAATAGACTCCTAGAGTCCACGCTGTCGAAAGACACGATCGACAAACTGCGTCGCTGTACCCATACCGTCGATGATGTCCGGCACTGCCGCAAGATGAGCCGTTAGGCGTAGACGATCTACAATGACACCACATCAGTGTTGCCCGCCGAGTCCTTTGGTACACCAAACGCAAAATTTATACTCATGGACTGCCAACACCCGGGGAGTACCGGTAAACTATCTAGCGGACTTCCAGTTGAAAAAGCGGACGCGCTTCCACTGCGCTACGGCGCCACCGCATTCGGAGAGGGTTTCACCCTTTGACATGTCTCACATATGTGCTCGTCCGGATGTACAGCTTGGGCCACCAGTAGTGGCAACTCACCGAGCTGTAGGTCTTCTCACGACCAAGATGGCTACTGAATGGGGTGTCGTGGGCCACATAGAGGATACGATACTTAAAATTTTCAGCGAAAAGAACCAAAATTTGTGGCATATTCGTCGATTTGGTGCAAAAATACAGTTACCTGTTATTCCACAAATATCGGTGTAACCGTGCGCGCAACCGCGCCGACATTTTCTTGACCGATTTTTCAAACTCCTTGCCCCCGAGAGCCTGTAGCAGTGCTACACGCATACCATTACTCGCGTATGCAGCGCGGATCAAATCCGTCACTGACGACGTCACCGTTGTGAAATGAGCAAGTTCATAATCGGTCTGCGTGACAACGCATCAGAAAAAGCATTCTGCGTTCCTGGATTATACTCCACCTCGAGCTTATATTCTGCAAACAAGGAGAGACACCTGGTCATCCTCTGCGAGAAATGAAGCGACTGAGTCGCAGTGCTTAATGACGCATGATCTATGTAGATCACAAACAGCTTTAAGCCAAGCAGGTGCAACTTGAACTTGGCAAGTGCATACTTCATCGCAAGTAATTCCTTGTCGTGAACTGGGTAGTTCTTATCTGCAGCCTTAAGCCGAAGAGATTCGAACGCGAATATCCGATCGCACCCCTCGGCGTCTTCTTACAGCAGTGCACAGCCGATGGGAAAGTCTGAAGCATCGCAGTCGGCACTAAAAGAACGATCGGGGTCTGGCAACGCCAGTATTGGTGCATGAAGGAGGCTGTCTTTGACCCTGTCAGAAGCGTCCTGATGCTCAATGTCCCAACACTATTCGGCCTCTTTCCTAAGAAGATTCGACAATGGGACACGCCAATGGCCCCTGCCCAAGGAGGCATTGACGCCTTTTTCTGTGCAAAGCACGACGCAGGAATGGTGCGTGAGAGCAAGTCTCCCCTTTCAAAAGT